GAAAGAGTTAAGGCCACGCCCTACACTCACCCTGGGCCCAACAAAGGCCTGTCCCCACTTACCGCCTCCATCCTGTTCTTGCCCCCCAGGCCGCTAACAGTTGCCCCTAACAACTACACCACACGCCCCAACCCCATGCCCTCCTGCAGGAAGCCCCTAGCCCTCTACCAGCTCAAATGCCTCCACCCTGTTAGCTCCTACCCTCAAAGTCCTGGTGTTTCTGAAGACTAAGCATCCTCTGTGGGCCCAGGGCTCCCGGAGCCCATGGCCACACCTGCTTTCCAGAGTCTTTGGGGGCAGATGGCGGCTCACCTGGTAGCCAGAAGCCTTGACGGTGGGGTTGTTCTCGATCTCCCACAGCCCCTCGCTGAACCCTTTCCTCTTGTTGGGCTTGCCAAACTTCTCCTTGGACTCCTCGTAAGGGAAGAGGTCTTTGGGGCCCAGGAATGCCCTGGTGAGAGATGGGAGACTGTGCTCTCAAGCCCCTCACTGCCCCTGAGCTGCACAGCCCGATAGGAAAGGGGCACCATCACCACCTCTCTTTCCCCACAGTGGTCCTCCCAGGGCCCTCCCGACCTGTGCCCCTTTGGCCTTCACTCACGTCTCGTGGGTCCCGAAGAAAAAGACTTGGTATTTGTTGGCTGTTGATTTCACGGCAGCTTCTGGCATCTCATCAATCTGGGGGTGAGATGAGAGAAGTGAGCATAGCTGGAGTCCTGAGGTCTGGAGTGAGACCGGGGTGCTGACTCTAAGGCACATGTGTATAAAACCAGACTGAGACAGGCCCAGTGCTGCAAGATGGCTTCAGGATCATTTTTTGCAGTGGAACGTTATTCAAATGAAGATAGACATGAAAATCCAGCAGAAACCCAGGAGTCCCTTCTTCTCTTTCACCAACCAGGCAGTATGGACTTGACTTCCCAATATGTTCAGGTCCTGGTCACAAAGCCCCCTGTCTTTGCCACCACCCTGGCCCAACCACTGTCATCTCTTGCCTGGATAAAAACCACTGCCTTGCCGGGCGTGGCGGCTCACACCTGTAATCCCTGCACTTTGGGAGGCAGAGGCAAGAGGACTGCCTGAACCTGGAGTTTCAAGACCAGTCTGGGCAACTTGGCAAGACCTCTCCACCATAAATCAAAAAATTAGCCAGGCATGGTGGCATGCACCTGTAGTTCCAGCTACTTGGAAGGCTGAGGTGGAAGGATCACCTGAGCACAGCAGGTTGAGGCTGCAGTGGCCGTGAGCATGCCACAGCACTCCACCTGGGTGACAGAGTGAGACTCCAAAAAAAATAAAAATAAAAACACACCACCATCTCTGCCTCTTCCCTCAGTCCCTCTTCTTGCCCATGACAGTTACCTCTCCACACAGCAACTAGAGTGGCCTTCCAAAATGTTATCTGAGCATTTTGCCATCTTGCTTCAAAACTTCCAAAACTTTTTCAACTCTAGGGCCCACCTGTTCACCTCTTCTGGTCCGAATCCCAACTCTGCCACTATTTGTGTGACTTTGGGTGACTTATGGAACCTCTCTACCTCAGTTTCCTCATCAGTGAGACAGACTAGTACTTAGGCCACAGGGTTCTGACTACAACTTGGCATACGGTACATCCTATATGTCTGCTATCATCAGCCACTCCCAGGACACTGCCCTTTCTTTCTGCTTCGACCACGCTGTTCTTTTGGTGTCTCCTACTCGCTAACTCCTGCTCATCTTCCAACCTTAGCTCCACCATCCTTCCCCAGAAAGATTCCCCATCATTGCTGACCTGATTGGCTCCCTAGGTAAATTGTCTCCCAACACCTCTCCTTCTCACAGCTGCAATTTTACACTGATCTCGATTATCATTCTATTAATGTCTGTGTGGACTATCTGAACGAGACCTGTCCCAAGGTCAGAGACCAGGTCTGCTTTTGAATCCAGCACAGTGCCTAGCATACAACACAGTAGGTGCCCAATAGATGTTTGCTGAATCAGTCTATGAAGCAGATAAAAGCAGACTGATCTGCTGAAGTGGAGAGGTGAGGCCAAAGGCTGCCTATTCAACACCCCTCAAAAGGCTTCTGGGGAACACTTTGAAAGGCACTGAAGCAGTCAAGTTCATTTTACAGATGAGGAAACTGAGCCCAGAAAAGATATGATTTGTCCAGAATAACAGAGCAAGCGAGTGAAGGCCAGGTCTCAGACTCCAATCTCCTGACTTGTCCCCTGCCCCAGTGTGGTGAAGGTGAGGGCTTAGAGGTCTGAGGCCAGGGAAACAGGCAGCACTCGGCCAGCCTCCCCCAGATCCGGCCTTGGAAGCCCAGGCTAAACTGAGCTGGCGGTGGGGTGAGGTGGAGACTACAACTCCCAGCAACACTTGCAGCAGCCCAGCAGGCTGGCTTCCCGCCGGACAGAGGCCAGGTGGCCATGTTGACTGGGGCCCAGGCGCAGACAGGACAGAGACAGACAGGCCAAGGCAGTGATTAAACACAGAGACAGGGACAGAGGGCTAACTAGGGGCCCAGGGAAGCAGGGACGCTGGGTAGATGGGAAGGAGCTGGGACACACCCAGGAGAGGGTGGAGCTCTGAGGGTGAATCTGAGGGACATCTTGCCCCAGACTTGGAGTCTTTAGGCTTCTGGGCACCTCCCCCCCTTGCCCCGTGGCCTCTAGGGACAGAGGTCCAGCCCTTCCCCCCAGGAAGGCTCAGCACAAACTGGGCCCTTCCCACAAGCAGGAGACGCTGGGGTGTGAGAGCAGGGGTGGAAAGGCACGCAGTTCCCCCCACAAACATGATCCCCATCGCCATGACAACCCAACCCCGCCCCCGGGGCCACTCAGCAACCAGGAATGTGGCCGCCCCTCCCCCCAGGCCCTCTCTCCAGATTGGGGAGGAGGGGACACTAACACACACCCCACCCCCAAGCCTGGAGTCTGGCACCTGGGTCCCCGGCTGTGCTTGAAACCACAGCTAGAGCTGGATTGCCACTGCAGGGGTTGCGAGAAGAAGGGGGGGTGTCCTCCTCAGGAAGCCGGACCTGAGGCAGGGGCGGAGGAGCCAGTCCTCAGCCAGGACACCTGGGTCCTGTTACCAAAGCTCTCCACCCTCCTCTCACAGGGGGAAGCAGAAAACAAATGAGGGCCTCCAGGGCTTAGAGATCCCAGGAGACAGGCACAGGACAATTATAGCAAGAGCCCGTCCCTAAGCCTTTATTCTTGGTGGATATGTGTGTGCCCGGAGCCAGGCATGGGGGTGGGGCCTGAAGGGTCTGAGGCCCAGAGTGCAGCAGGGAACTTTGATGTCTGCATTTCCAGGGCCCACACCTGAGCCGGGGCATTAATATGCTCATAGTTAATGTGTGATGAAAGAGAAACTGAGGGTCAGTAAGAGTAGGGTGGGTAGGTGAAGAGTCAGAGGTGAGAGACCTACACGGTGGCCCAGGCCTGTGATCCCAGCACTTTGGGAGGCTGAGGCAGGAGGATTGATAGAGTCCAGGAGTTTGAGACCAGCCTGGGCAACACAGTGAGACCTCGCCCCTATAAAAAAAGAAGAAAAAAAAGGCAGCTGGGGTGGTAGCACAAAGCTGTAGTCCCAGTTACTTGGGAGGCTGAGGCAGAAGGATCACCTGAGCCCAGGAGGTACAGGCTGTGGTGAGCCCTGATGGTGCCACTGCACTTCACCTGGGCAACAGAGCAAGACCCCGACTAAAAAAAGAAAAGAAAAGAAAAGAGTCATGAGGGTCTCTCCAGCAAAGCAGCTACCAGGCCATCATCTCTTATCACCCCAACTTCCCATGGAAAGCAAACTGGGAGACAGATAACTGAATGGTGTGGCAGGGGACCCTGGGGGGACACCAGCTGCCCAGCCCCAGGGGTGGAGGAGAAACAAAAGAACCGATGGGATTAAAAATAGAATGAGACACACCAGATATACACGTTCTGCTGACTTCTAGCTATAAAGGATGGGTCTAGGGGAAAGAGGGAGGAAGACAAGGGTCTGGGCTGATGGACATCTTCCCCCAAAAGATGGTTCTACCCCCTCACCTTGAGTGTAAGCACCTGTGGGGGGAAGGACCCCGAGAGGTGAGCTCTTCTCACTTAGTGGAATTCCCAACCCCTCACCCAAAAGGGGGACACCTCCCTCCTGCAGTGGCACCTCCACTTCTCAGGCTACAAAGGAAATGGCTTTTCTTGCATTTGGAAGTGAAGAGCAGCTCTGCCTAGAGGATATGCGTCTCAGGGGAGCCCTGTACCCCAATACAGAAGTCTGTCTCCCAGGCGGTGCCTTTATATTCAGACTGTGACTCAGAACAAGTGACTCAAGCTAAGTGGGTCAGGGGGGGCAGATAATGTTGGGCACCCCACTGTGCCCCCTCCACTAGACAGCAGTGGAGGGGGCTCTGCTGCCTCACCGCCATTCCAGGGATCCAGGCAAGTTACTTCTCAGGCCTGGCCATCTGCCCCCACCCCTCTGCATTTGCCTGAATTCATCCGTCAGGCCTGAGCACATGAAATCTCATCCTCCCAAGCCCATGGACACCCTGAGGGCTGAAGCGGAATCTGGAATTCTCCAGTGGAGTGGGGAAAGAAGACTGAATACCTCTCCCCCAGCCTCAGACCAGAAACAGGCCTGAGATCACCTAGCCAGCACAGAGGAAGACAGCAGGGAAGGCTAAGCACACATGGCTGCCAGCCAGGGCTCTGACCACCACACCCAGGGCCGAGGCCCAACCTGACCCAGGAACCGGAAAATCTGGGGCAGGAGACAGTTGGGGCCGGGAAAGTGTGGCAAGCCCAAGAAACAGAAAAGAGAAGGTGCTGGGGGAGGGGTAGGCAGCAAGGGAAGGGAAGCCGGTGAGGTCCTCAGGCTGCTCAGGTTTTCTGGGATTGTGAAAGAGGAAGCAGAGAAAGGAGGAAGGAACTTGGGGGAAAAATCCCTGAAGTCTTGGAGGTCAACTGTTAAGTGCCTGGAGATCCCCCAGGAAGTCAGGCAGGAGGAAGAGGGAAAGGAGGAGGTTAAGATGGAGTCACACCATCCTTCCAGGCAGGTCCTGCCTATCACGTGGGCCCTCTGGCTGGGCTCTCCAGCACTGGGCCTTCTAGACTAACAAGAGTCCCATCCTCCCCAGCAGCAGGGGCTGAGGAAGGAAAGGCCTTCATTATGGCTGAAGATCCGGCTGCTTACTGGATGGGATGGTCAGACTCCCTCTTGCTCCTCACCCACCTCAGGGGCTGGACCCCTCAAAGTCTGACACTCTAAGGACTAAGACAGGGTCAAAGAATGGTGAGGAGACTCACATTTGCCTGTTCTTTTGGGGCTCAAGGGGGGATGCACCTGGGAGGTAACAGCCTTGGGTGTACCCCTCCCAACGGTCACAATTAAGAGCCAGAGAGAGGCAAAACGTGGGGCCCTATCTTTCTGAGATCCGGTCTGAGCTCCCTACCCCAATTCTAACTTTATCTAAAAGGTCCAGGCCTCAGCAGAGGAAAAAATTCTGCCTCCTGTCCTGCCCTTCTGCCCTGGAGGCCAGGGTGACAAGAAGAAATAAGTGGCAACCCCAGCCCCAGGCACGGCCCTCACTCCAAAGGCTGCCAGAAACCTGAGGGTCTTCCTTTCAGGGGCTAGTGTGGGGTCTTCGGTGCGTCCCTATCCCTTTTCTCTCTTACCTGACCTGGAAGGATTCTCTGCAACCCACATTCCAGCTAACACTCCCTCCCCAGGGCTTAGCCCAGCCTCTGGACTTTGTCCTGTCCCCAGGAGGTAGGAGCAGTAGAGACCTGAGTTCAATTCTAGCCCTGCCCACCCGGGCCTTGGCAGCTGGGCCAAGAAGCCAGTTGGATCAAAGGGTGCAGGGCAAAGTACATGAGTGTTCACACGCCACACATACACATGCACACACAAGGCTGGCTGTGGCTGCTTCTTTACCCTTCCCCCTCCCTAGCCCTTGGAGGGCCTGCAAGCTCAAGAGCCCCCTTTCTCTCTGTCCTTGCCTCCCATTCCACAAGCCAGGCCTCACTAGATCCATCTGAGAGTTTCAGGGAACAAGGAGCTCAAGACATGCGGAATTAGGCACACGCCTCAGGAGTGGGTGGGTACAGGTGAGGAAGGGGCTGCTGAGTTTTCTCTAGTTGCCCTTCAAGTTGGCCTGATACCCTGAACAAGGCCGGGACGATTTCCTAAGCTCAGAGCAGTGTCTGGGCCAGATGAAAACACAGACTTACTCTGAGAAGAGCAACCCAAAGCCATAAGGTAATCCTTCTGCCTTTGATTTAACTCTACAGAGTCCTACACTCCAGGGGACTCACCATGCCCTCACCCCACCCAATACCAAAGGCCCCTCTGCATTAACTTTAAAGTAAGTTGCCAGATGCACAGCTCCCCCACCCCCACTTTTCTCCAGGAACTGGCAAGCTCGCGTCCTCCCTACTTAACCTGTCTCAGTCCTTAGGGAAACACGATGAACACACCAGGCTTGGCTTTTGGGCCCCACCCTCCCACCTGGCCAGGTGGCTATGCGAGGGGGCATATTGGCGGGCTGAATCAGCCACATGGCAGAGAGGTTCTGGCGGGAGATGCTCACCTCTGCGGGGGGAGAAGCAATCCAGGCTCTCTCTACTCCCACTAAGAGGAGGTCTGAACCGGACTTCCCAACCCCACAAGAGGCCTTGCCGCCCTCAGCCCCAAATTGGAGTTGGCGGCATATGGAGGAATGTTTCTGTGGAGCTGAGGGCTGGTGGGTCCTGGCGGACACTTTCCAAGCCGGGCAGATCCCCTCTTACGCCGCCCGCAACCATTCCTCGACCCTCCCAACTTCAGACATCTTACGGATGCCCCAAACCAAAGTTTTCTAGAAGCGAACTCCGCCTCCATCAATCCCTCTCTGGGCTGGAATCTTTCTTAACCCTTTATCCAGGAAGAGAAGAGCTTGAACTGGGGGCGACAATCAATGAAGACACTGGGGGTCTCCATGGGGGTCCCAAAGGGGGTGGCGGCGGCGCCTGGAAGTGGAGTGGCAGGAGTAGCACGACTCGCCCAAACTCAGCCTGCGCGCCCGAAACCTCTGGGCGTGTGGGGGCTGGGGGCGGAACTGAGCACGCGGAGGGAGCCGGGGGCCGGGAAGCCACCGGCGCCCTCGGGTCCCCACGCCGCACACACGCCCCTCCGTGCGGACGCCGTACCCGCCGGGTGTTTGTCCCCCTCCCTCCCGTCTCCACCATTATATAACCGGCGGGTGGGCTTGAAGGCGACTGGGAGAGAGTCGGGCACCCAGATGCCCCTGCCCCCACCTCCACCCGCGCCGCGCGGAGCACTCGTGCCCTCTCGGTGTTATGCAACCCCAGCCCGCAGGGGGAAAGGGGGCGGCGGGCCGCGCTGCTCACCCGGGCCGGCCAGTGTGGGTAGCCCTTCATCTTGGCGAACACCAGGTCCCCGCATTTGTACTCCTTCTGCCGGTTGGATCGCGACATGGCGGGGCTCCGGGCGCCCCGGGCTCCGCGCCGGGCCGGGAAGCGCGAGCCCAAGTTTGCGCGTGCGGCGGTG